GTGCCTGATGAGGAACTCCTGCTGCTGTAACTGTAAAATCCCTTTGCCCTCCTAGGCACAAATGCCTAACCAGGGAGATGATGTGGCTGCACAGGATTCCTCTCCCACTCCACTAGTAAAAGCAGAGCAGCACAGCCAAGGCCTCAGGAAAAACAAAATCTATTGAGGCTTCAAGGTGACTACTGGGCTGTTGTGCCTACCAGATCCTGCAAGCTCAGCTGGGTCAATGCTAAGTACTGGAGTTGTAAGCTGATCTCAGCAATGTGCATGCTTGGTTTTGGGCTCAAGCTGCAACTTCCAGTGTCCACCTAGAACAGGGCGCTACATTTTGGCTTTGGAGTAGGATTAGGTAAATTTGCAACACTAATTAGTACTGTTCTCTGCCCTGGAGTGCCACATATTGCTTCTGAAGACTACCGGAGCATCATTACCTAGCACACTGAAAAACTCCTCTCTCTCCTGCTTACTAGGTTGCAGCATGGAATTAAACAGAGCAGGAATAGCAGATACATGCATGGGAATGCCTTGGACAAACATTCTCCTGTGATGCCAGGCCCTAACAAACACTTACCTCCTCCCTTGGTGAGAATGAAGCCAGCTGTTTGATCTTCGTGGTTTGGTGGTTGTTGCATTTCTTGCAAAGCAGAATTTGGCTGCTCACCCACTGTTGCGGTTTGGTAGGATCACAGAAAGTCGTAGCACCTGACACAACATGGTTAAGGTGTTCCATGCAGGAATGGGCTTGTTGTAGTCTCCATTCTGACAAAAAGCAAAAAGGGAGGCAGGAGGGAAAGCAAACATGAGATCATAAAATCAAAGCTAGGTATGCTCTAGTTGATAACAAGATTCCCTAAACTCCGTCAGGAGCTCTGCACTTCAAGCATTCACCCATATAACAAAAGAAATAAGTAAAAAAAGAGACAAAATGCTTCAAATTCCCCCATCCCATTGTTTTATACCCCCATTGCAAGCAGTTGGTGGTGGATTTTGGCTTAAGACAGGCTTTGTTATTTAACACCCTAAGTAAAGCAATTCAGCTGTTCCAAAACACAAAACCGAATAATTGTTCCATATATTAAAAAAAGAGATTCTTAAGATATACTGGTGAAAATGTCAAGGTCCTTTTTGCCCTTTGAAGCAAGAGAGGAAAATTTGTCTTTATCATTCTACACCAGCACATCCCTGTACACTAGATTCTCAAATTTGATAAAGTCATGAGTTGCTGAGTTCACAGGTGCTCAGCACAGATCTGCCAGCTGTCAAACTGCTGGATATTCACCTGCACTGCACCTGTATCATCTTAAACGAGGAGCAGGGTTTTCCCACAAGCACTGCTCCACAGGGCATGCACCTTCCCAGCCACCCTTTGAGCAATTTCTCACAGTACCTCTTGGAATCCATTGTACTGTTCACAGTTGGGGCAATCCCAGCAGTTGCGATTCCCATATGGCACTACCGTGTCCTGATTGCAGAACCAGCAGTTCACAGTCACATGCGTGGGCTTCTTCCTGTTAGCAAAGGAAACGTGTCAGGCATCAACACTGAATTCAGCTGACGTAGAGGAAAGCAATGGCTTTCAAACAGGGAAATGCAAGGGAAGCTGGAATTAAAATCAATCTTCCCACTCAGTTTGTTTAACGCTATGACTCAGAGTAGCCATTTTAGCAATGAAAAGCTGGACTACTAAAGTAGAAATAAATTTCTGCCCGATGCTCATATCTCTTTGTGCTAGTACCACGGATATGCCAGAACTTTAATAACAACCTTGAGAATAACCCACTTCACTGTTTTTCAGAGGCATATTTGGAGGTGCGAGTCCTCTCCATAACCAGCAGCATTAGTATATGAGGAAGGTGCAGTGGAGTTGCTGCTTAATACACAGAGAAACAGAAGTTAAGATCCACAAGAACTGCATATGACAGTACTCAGAAACCTAAGTTTCAGGCACTGTAAATAGCTGTTTCTTCACAGCTTTAGGATACATAAGAAGGAACCGAGGAATCATCAACATGTCTTCCTCAGTTTTTATGCACTGGAACTGAAGAGACAAAGACTAATGACCTGGATCCATAAGCCCCTTGTTTTCTAAAACAATCCTTTTAAAATAACAGCCACTACAAGAGAGACAGCTGTGGTGTGGCCCCATTGCAACAGGTGGTGACAGATGTTTAAGCAAAGAACTTCAAGGGCACACTGAGCCTGCCTGCTGAAGAAGGTCTCCACTTGTCTTGAAACTTGGTATGATACCCACAAAGCAGCTTCCTGGCAGGTCAAGGGAACACAGCCTAGCTGTCTGGGTTTATCAGAACCAGTCCCAGTCAAACCTCCACGGAGGGCAGCTGTTCAGGCAAAGCCCAGGCAGGGACCCGCTATGGCAGCTATGCAGACAGGTGGACCCAGCTGCCACCAGCCCTATTTGCTGCCTAACTCCACCAAGTTACCAGCGTGCCTCGGGCTGGACAGCTTCTAAAGCAGCAGGGAAAGCAACTGAGCAGAGAGGCTCACTGAAAGCCTGGAAAAGCAAGTAACAGCAGCCAAAGTGCTCACCAGTTGAGAGCAACTTCTCTTCTTCCTGCTCTAGGAAACCTTCTCTGCTGCTACAACATTCTGTAGCGAAACATCTTCTGAGTGCTGTAGAAATGTTGTCTGGCAGCCTGCAACCAAACAGGCAGGTGGTTCTCCCGTTACTTAAGCTGGCTTCTCTCTCGGCCATCACCTTTGTAGCTTGATGCCTACAATTAATATTCTTTCCCCCTCCCATTTCCATAGACCATGTCTTGAAACTTGGTTCATAATATGTCAAACCCTCAAGTGATGCTTGCGCCTTCTGTTTAAGTACCAATGACGAGGATAAGCTTGAAACGAAGCACCAGAAAGAAGCCTAAAAAGCCAGAGTGCACAGAGGATTCCCTGCCAGATGCTGAAAGAAAATGGCTGGAGCTACTAGGGTGACACATTCTCATCTCAAAATAGATGCATACACCCACACTCCTCTTCAAATGAATATTCACTGCTCAACTTTGTTCATTGCCAAGGAGGCTCAAAACAGTAAGTGATCCGAGTTAAAAATACCACCATTGAAACTGACAGGCAAAAAAAAAAAGTTTAAACCAGACAGAAATCTAGGTCCCTAGTCCAAGTTATCCATAAGCCACTACTGTCCCAAAAGCCAAGCAAACCACAGGACAAAACAGCCGTATGATGGATGGACAGCAACACCTGTTGGTGCTAGTTTCATCTCACTATCATAGGTGCAAAAGCTATGAAAAAATAATTCATAGGCTTCAGCATGTTAATGACCAAAATACAAATCCTGCTGCACCTTGAGCATAGATTTCAACAGCAAGCACAACCTAAAATCCATCCTTTGATGTAGGTTATTGCACCGGTCCCTGGTACCATAGGAAGTGCTACAATCCCACCTTCCTGCCACTGTGGCACCGTCCTCTGGCACCCATGGAAATAAGACATGCCACACTTCAGTCTCTCCCTACCACCAGTCTCGAACTTCCATGACATGACAGAATAGGTAGGTAGAAGCACTGATTTCAAGGATAATATAGAAGTGGAAATCACAGGCTAAAAAATGAGCAAAGCATGCATGCTATGAAGCACAAAAAGAATCAACGCCAAACTCTGCCTGAGGACTTGCTAATATCAGAGACTAAATGCTTAGTATACTTGAGACCTTTCCATCTTTTCCAAACAGAATTTTATTTCTCACTCTTGAGGCTGAGGAAATGCTACCAACAGTTAAATAGCAGCCCTTCACTCTCACAATGTATGCAAAAGAAATTGTGAGAGTCCTAGATTATTTAGGATAAAAAGCAATAACCCTTCCTTTCGTGAACCTATAATCTGTTGTCACAGAATAGGTGCAAAAAAACCCCAGAATTTCCCAACTGGCTGGATGAAAAGGAAGAGGGAAAAAAAAGGTCCTTTGAGGCAAGAACACATAGGTAGGGTGCTAATTTTCCAGTAATTGGGCAGGACTTTACAAACAAAAAACAAGTACTGCATTTGGAAAGACTCTCAAATACGGATTTAATGACTTTGGAACTATATATACCTTGACTCTTGACTGAATTCAGGCAGCAGCTGAACATAGCAAGCTAGAGCACACATTGCTTCTGAAGTCAGACATTCTGTTATGAGAAGACAGACAATGCAAAATTCATATAAGCATTTACCATGTGCTCAATCCCTTGCAAAACATTAGGCAAATCATCCTTAAGGAGTTTATAATCTAACACTGCATTATGTTGAATTAGCTTCACTGGACAAAGAACCATGCTGCAAAAATAAAACCTGAGCAGCAAGAATTGATTGAATTACTTACGGCGTAGAGAGATTCCATTAAAAGCTGACTTGCTGTGCTAACTCAGTATGTGGTCTACACACCATAACAAGATAGAAAAAGATCCCAGGTTTGGACAAATCGTTTTGCATGTAGATCTTTGCTTAGGATGACACTGGGGGACACACCTAGAGTAAACTCAAGTTATGAGATCAACATCTAAATGGCTGATACTGCTCAGACAGTACGACAAAACGTTCCTTTGTGAGAGGCTATCAGACTCCTTTACCTTGCTAACGAGCTTTCTGTCCTGTACACAGCGCTTGCAAAAATCAGACTGCAGGTATACCCACTAACAAACACTGCTTAGCAACTAGTTTGTGTCTCACGTAACATAAGAAGGAATTTATGTTCCTTCCAACTCCCAACACTCGCCACTATTCCCCATTTATACATACATTTAAGGTCACGCTTAAGTCTACACTTTTAACATATTACTAGAACAGTCTCAGTGACAAGTGCAGGTCAAATCAGTTATCTGACAAAAATACTTCGAAATCCAGTTTATTATTATTTACATCTATTCTCCCCTCCCTTTACTGCCAGAAGATGAAGATGTTTGGTCTTCCGTATTCCTAAAAGAAGCCATAGGTGGATGTGCAGTTTTTCTCTGGGTTACCCTCATCCTCTGCCAAAGATTAAAAGAAAAAACAATTCTCCATCAGGAGTATTTAAAGCAACACTCCTCTTCTTATTTAAAGCAACACTTCTTCTGACACAACTGCCTTACAAAGCAATTATACAAATGGCTATGCCAGCAAATCTGAAGAAAAAACACTCTAGGAAGACTAGCTGTTTTGCACAGATCAGTTTTGATCATAACAAGATGTGATGGCAGTTTAACATAACCAAGCTGCCAAAGCTCCAAGGTACAGAGCAAACCCAGAGCACAGTATGGTCAGCATGACTGAGTTAAGAGGTGCTCAACGGACCCAGTACCATGTTCAGCTCACAGTTTAGGAAGCTCCTGGGTGGCAGCTCATCGAGCTGCTATAATTCCAAGTTGTGACCATGTCCATCACTAGTCAACAAAGATTTTCCAATGTGAGGAAAACACATCACAGCTGTCTAGATTCCAGCAGGCGAACTATAACATAGATGCATTTTCTCAGAACTAGCAAGTTGCAGACAGGGTTGAATATTTAGCCACAAGACGAGATTTCTAGTGCAGTGTCATAGGTTACAATGCAGACTATCTTTTCCCAAGAGCCAGACTTAGTGCTCTCTTAAGAGGGAACAAGGTGCCCAGTGGACCTAGGCAGGGACACAGATCCACAGTCATAACTCAACTCCCTCAAAGGCTGTCTTCTGTGAAACTGCAGCTTTAGCAACTTTCAATTCTCTGGAGAATACCAGCCATCAGAACAGGATCCTCTGGAAAAGGTGCCTCTTTTTGCCATCTGTTTCTGTGACAGGCTTCTCAACTAAATGAACTAGCTGCACAGCAATTCCTGAGTTCCTACCAGGCTCTCTTTCAGAGTGAGCAATGGCTTATCTTGACTTTACTTGTAGAAGGAGCCACCTCTGCCATCACTGACCCAACAAGTCCCAAGAAAGATATTCTCATGGGGTATTCTATATCGGTACCGACATAAGCCAGGAGCTAACAATCAGGAAGGGCACAGAAGGAGAAGGAAATATGGCTACAGCCGGTGGTCTGAACTCAGCAACCAGGCTTCCAACAATACGTAACAAACAAGTAGCCAAACTGTGATCTCAAAGAAAGATCACAAAACATATCAGAGTTTTCCTATCTGGCCCAAACTCATGAGGTTTAAGGAGTTCCTGTGCATACCTGGACATCAAATCTTTTTTCTCCCTGATACAAAAAGCACAGTCTTAGCTGGCTGGCACAGTTACCGTAGTGCAACTCCACATATTGACAGTTATTCCAGAACTACTTTCAACTAGGTTGTTCTGATATGTTTTATCTCTCTTCCTACAGGGGCTGGTAAAGGGCATCTTGCTAGATATGTAAGCGCACTCACGCTGAAAATGGAGCAAAGCAGGGCTGTATCATAACATTAACACCAAAGGCAAAGGCAGCATCACATCTAGTATAGTATTGAGAAACACAAATATGTAGCCCCAAAGAATTATCAAGGTCACCTCCTGAAACGTTTACAGCTCACCAGCAGTTTTCAAGGGCTT